TGGACCATTTCTCGCTTTATGTGTGTCATCCTTGCGCAGGGGCCATGCTTTTTTTTTTTTTTTTTTTTTTAAACAAAGGCTCCTTCTATTCTGGGGAGCGTCAGTCCGGTTCCTATTCCACCGGCAAGGGGCCATGCAAATCTTCTGTGTATCGTTCCAAATTTAACCGTTACGGTTAAAATTGGAAGGACAGGTAAAATACACCTGTGTCAATGACATGCAAAATTGCAAAACCGACCATCATGATTCATGAGTATTTTATCCCCCGACCAGGGTTGGTCAACCCTCCCCACGGAGCCCCAATACACCAGCGTCGAGCAAAATTCCAAAGACGTGAGACAGATCGTGAGACCACATTTGACGAACAACCAACAGACGTCAGACAGACACAGACAGAAAAACAGACAGGCAGGCAAACACAGAGGCATACAGGCAGGCACAGAGAAAGAATGACAAACACAGAGGCATACAGGCAGGCACAGAGAAAGAAATTCAATGACAAACACAGAGACACGGACACAGCCAGAGAGATAAAGACAGATCAGGGCAGTGAGATCTGTGCACTGATGAACAGATCCAACAGACGACGGACAGACGAAGAGATTGAAACGGACAGAGAGAGACAGGTAGACAGGCAGCTACCGAGAGACTAACAAACACAGAGAGACCCAGACAGAGAGGGCCCAAGAGAGAAATAGAGAGACCAAGGCAGTGAGATTTTTGCACTGACGTACAGACTGACAGACGTCAGAGAGACAAACAGAACAACAGAGAGAAACAGACAGGCTGAGACAGACACAGAGACAGAGAGAATCAGACAGGTAGAGACAGGCAGACAGGCTGAGACAGAGACAGAGACAGAGACAGACTGACAAACGCAGAGTCGGTGAGATAAAGACAGAGCAAGGCAGTGAGATTTCTACGTTTACGAACAGAGCAACAGACGTCAGAACAAAAACAGAGTAACAGACAGAAAGACAAACAGAAAAAAATAAAAAAAAAGGAAAAAAAAATAAAAAGAAAAGAAAAGAAAGACAGACAGATAGAGAGACTGCCAGGCATATTACAGGCTCATACAGAGAATGATCAGACAAACACAGAGAGCCAGAGAGATGAAGAATGTGCAAGAAGGTAAGATTTGTCCACTGACAAACAGACCGACAGACATCAGACAGACAAAGACAGAAACACAGACAGAGAAACAGATAGAACCAGAAGGTTCTATTAACAACTTTTGAAAGTTGAAAAGAAATTGTGAATCAGTCGAAGATAGTGAGGCATACTGACAAACACAGAGACAAAGACAGCGACAGAGACAGACCCAACGCGCAGACGTCAGACGGAAAGACAGAGAAACGGACAGACAGAGATAGGCAGACAGGCAGATACAGAAGAAAGACAGGCAAACACAGAGACCCAGATACCGAAAATCCATACGGTGAAAGATTGCAGAGCATTCCGAAGAGTGGCAGAGGGAGAAAGAGAGAGAGAGAGTAAGGCAGTGAGATTTGTGCAGACTACGCGCCATTACTGCAGAAAAAAAGCATGAACAGCCTACCGTCTTCACCAGAACAGAATGCCTGGTCATTGTAGCTGCATTTGGGCAAACCTTCAGTCTAGATACAGCGATAATGGCGTTCTATTCAGGTGAAGAAGGTAGTATTCGAGAGTAAACCAAACAAAACAAGAGAAAAAAATGGAACACTACCAACGGGCCTACCTAGCTCAGTTGGTACACCCACAAACTACTCAAATGCAGACCTGAGTTCGAATCCGAATGAAATTAGATGAATTAAATTAAATAAATATTTAATATTCTGAATTTTCTGTGGCTGCCACTGGCTGGTCAGTTCCACGATGACAAAAATCGAAAAAAAAAA